GAGGAGGGATCTGAGGAGGGGATCCGGGGAGGGGATCTGGGGAGGGGATCCGGGGAGGGGATCTGGGGAGGGCTCCTCACAGTTCCCGAAACGTTCTCTCACCTGGCTGATATCCAGATGCTCCTCCAGGTCGTAGGAGTCATTGAGTTGCAGGACTGTCCAGAGCGCTGCCCCTTCCTTGCACTGCCTGAGGAGGAGTGAGGGGTGCAGACGATGAGCCTTGGGGGTGGCGGGAGGGCCGGTCCCCTGAGGGACACCGGTCTCCTTCCTTCCCCAGTCTCCAGCTCCGCCAGGCTGTCCGCTCACCGATAAGCTTGGTGGATGCTGATGTTCTTCCTCAGGCCAAGAAGGTGCGACAGGTTCATGGACGGGGGCAGGTTCCCTGGGGTGTCTGCAAACTGGGGATGGGGCAGTGAGAAATGGGCACAGAGCGGGGTGGGGGCAAGGCCAGCCGGGTCCCCTAGGGCCTGGTGCTGTGCCGCCGTGGCACAGCAGAGACGAGGGGCAGGAAACATCCCCTCAGCCCAGCTCACACCTGGCCTCTAACTCTGGACCCTCAATCCTTACAGGGGCTCTTCCCATGAATCCCTAGGAGGGGAGGCCGGCCCGATCTTCTGCAGAGAACCCAGTCCAGCATTGCAGCTCACCGGGCACCAGGGCGCCGGCTCCCAGACAGTGTTAGGAGATGAGAGGGCATGGGTCAGGGTGCCATCTCTCAGGTTCCTGCCCTGGGGCCTGGGCAGCATCTCAGGGACTCTCCCTCCACCGTCCACTGGTGGGTTTCTGTCTCTTTCCTTGGCCATGTCTGTCTCACTTCTCCCCTCCCTCTCTCCCTCTTACCCCCGGCCACCACTTTCCCCCAACCCTCCTGTCTGCCCATACTGCCCCCCACCTCCCTCCCCAGGAGGGCCTGTGAGCAGAGACGGGCCTACCTCAAAGAGCTCGCCGCTCTCCCAGCTCTGGCACACCAGCGTCTGCACGTTGCCGCCCACCAGGAAGGTGGCAAACACCAGGAGGATGAGGGGGGCAGCAAAGAGGAAGCTGAGGCCCACGCCTCTGTGGAAGGCGAGAGGCAGGACTGAGGGACAGCAGGGACTGGCCGCCCTGACCATACCCTCTGTCCCACCCGCACCCCAGGGCCAGCCTGCTCAGCCAGTTGGCCCCAGGACAGAGCCTTCAGAGGAGACGAGCTTGGAGGACTTGGCCTCCGGGGGGGGAGGGAGAACCCAGAATTCCTGACTGTCCCGGTCTCACCTTCACCCCATCCCCACCCTGTGCCTGGTGCCTGGGCTGGCCCTGGCAGCCTAGAGGAGAGAACAGCTGTTTTGTTCAAAGAGCCAGGACTAGCTGGGCTCACATCTATAATCCCAGCACTTTGGGAGGTTGAGGTGGGAGGATAGCTTGAGTCCAGGAGTATGAGACCAGCCTGGGCAATAGAGTGAGACTTTGTCTCTACAAAATTTTAAAAATTAGCTGGGCGTGGTGGCACACGCCTGTAGTCCCAACTACTCGGGAGGCTGAGGCATGAGAATCACTTGAGCCTGGGAGGTTGAGGCTATAGTGAGCCATGATGGTGTCACTGAACTCTGTCCTGGGTGACAGAGCAAGACCCTGTCACAACAACAACAAACAAAACAAAAAACAAAACAAAACCCAAAGAGCCAAGACTGCTGACTTCTGTGCCTGGGGCCCGTGGAGGTGACCTGCTCCAGGACCCAGCACTCAAAAGGGTCACCTGGCACGGCCAGGCATGACCTGTTGACAGGGAAGAATCCCAGCAGGCCTGAGGAGTAAAGATCTTAGACCAGGAGGCTCGAAGGGCTTATGAGGTAGGCACAGCCCTATGTCAGGCTGTGAGGCTTGGAAAGTAAAACGTGGGGTGGATTTCAGCCCCCACTTACCTCTTTAGCCAGGCACTCTTGTTCAGTGAACAGCCTGTACAACTGTATGTGGCAGCCTTGGCCTTAGAGACCATCTAGTCTGGGGCTGGCAAACAGATTCCACCTCTGGTGCTGTTGCCTATTGGTGGTGGGGGCCGCCTGGAAGCTGGGGTGAGGACTCTAGGCTGTGTCTGACTCAGGGGAAGGAGTGCCTGTTAGATGCTACGGCAGTTGCCCCTGCTGTAGGAGGCAAGAGCTCCTTGTTGGCCATTCCTGCTCTGGTTCAACCCCTTTATTCAGATGATGACACTGGCAGCCACGGGAGCTGTGCTCAGGAGCGAGAGTAATCGGCCAGCCCTGTAAGGGGGGACCCTTCCCCTCTCCCAGCCCTCTCTTACGCCATGAGGAAGTGGGCTCCAGCTTCGCCCTTGGCTTCTGGCTGGCTGGGGTCCTCCCTGGCAGATAGGCCCCAGATGCCCAGATTGAGGCCCAGCAGGTTGCAGAGTGCCACGAGCAGGACCACGGAGCACAGCACGCAGCCCACGATCCACCTGCCACAGAGAGGACACGGGTGTCACTAAGAAGGGAGGCAGCTGGCACCAAGACGGACAGGTGTGGGACCTGGTGGCTGGGTGTGGCCGCTAACCCCAAGGCTGGGGCTTCAGAAATGCAGATACAGACCCTTCCTGAGGCCCTACTGCTCTTGTGTCGTCTCCAGGCTCAGGTTCCGAGGGCACACAGCCTGGTAGGGACTTGGAAGCCTGTGGAGTCAGGGGTCTTGGCTTAAAAATATGCAGAGGCAGCCGGGCGCGGTGGCTCACGCCTGTAATCCCAGCACTTTGGGAGGCCGAGGCGGGCGGATCACGAGGTCAAGAGATAGAGACCATCCTGGCCAACATGGTGAAACCCTGTCTCTACTAAAAATGCAAACATTAGCTGGGCGTGGTGGCGGGTGCCTGTAGTCCCAGCTACTTGGGAGGCTGAGGCAGGAGAATCGCTTGAACCCGGGAGGCGGAGGTTGCAGTGAGCCGAGATTGCACCACTGCACTCCAGCCTGGTGACAGAGCGAGACTCCGTCTCAAACAAACAAACACACACAGAGGCTCAGTATAGTCAGGGGCTGATAGGGGCTGGGAATGGGGCTCAGGGTGTCAGGGTGGCATAGAGGTTGGGCTGCCCGCCCCACCCCACCCTGCGGGTGCCCAGCACCTGTAGGTCTCGTATCTCTGCACCTCCTGTAGGTAGGGGCGGCTGCTCTCCTCCACCTCCTGAAGCGCCTGGGCCCAGCGGGAAGCTGCCTCCGAGCCTGGGAACCCTTCAGCCAGTGTCCTCAACCCTTCCGGCTGCTGGGCCACTGCCTTCTTCAGCTCTGCCCAAAGTAGCGGGGACTTGTGGGATGCGGAGGGCACCCTGGGGCCCAGGAACAAGACAAGTGGGCAGGAAGAACATCTGGGAACCACAGAGGGAGGACAGTCCCCCGCCACCCCAGTCCTCTCTCAACAAGCCTCTCTGGTAGGGGTGGGGCGGGAAGCTGTGCCTGGCAGCTGCCTCTGACCCTTGCGGCCTAACCTTGCACCACGCTGGACGTCTGCATGGCAGCCACAGTTGGAAGAGCGTTGAAGGTGCTGTTCTCCTGCAGGAACCAAGTAGGGATGGACCTCCCCATCTCTGCCCAGTGTTCCCTCTTGGGAGACCCCAAAGTCACCAGGCCTAGAGGGAGGGCCCCCCTCAGTGCTCCCAGCTTCCCTCTTTTCTCTTGGTCACTGCCCTCCTCTCCCCTCCCTTGGCCCAGCCTGACTCAACTTCTAAAAGGTTGCTCCTCCCGGACCTCTTCTTCCTACCCCCATCCCTCTCCCACCACTGCAGTGAACTCTCAGCTGTCCTCCACACAACTGCCAGGTCTAGCTCCTGAAGATACAGCCCCAGTCCATCCTTCCAGCCTCGGCTCTGACTTCCTTCTGGAACCTTCCACTCCAGCCACCCAGCACAGCTGACTCACCATTTCCCCAGCTCCAGGTCCTGGGTCCTGGGCGCTGACTCACAACACCGAGTCCTCCCCCTTGGCCCATCTCCACCCGAGGGAGCCGCCTACCCCCTGGGCTCAGGTTGGGCACTGCTCCCTTGCCACCCCAGACGCCTGCTGCCTTAAAGGTCCCAGCTCTCCCTTCCGAGCACAGACTGTGTGCACACCAAGGGTGGTCGTCGGGAGTCCCCTGCCCAGGGTGCTGTGTGGTGAGTGGGGCCCCAAGTCTTAGGTTCAACTGGGTTCCTGCCCAAAAGGGGGAAACGGAGGCCCTCACTTGGCAGGTGAGGGAGGAATCAGGCAGATCGGGCGACTCTCACCTCCTGGACCATGCTGGAGAAGTTGGCCTCGGGGACTCCCTTCAGCCGGTGCAGGACATGGTCCACAGAGGGCACCTGAAACGGGGGAAGGTGGGTTATTACAAAGTTCAAGGAGAAGCCTGAAGGGGATCCCTGAGGGCGGACGCAGGGGGCAGGTGCCTCTGAACCCCAATGTCCTCAAGTGTAAAATGGGGACTGTCATGGCTCCCACTGCTCCTGGCCGCAGCCAGAACTCAAGGAGCTCACACACGTGGAGCTCACGCAGAGGGCGGGGCCCGGGGAGCACCCCACCCACAGCCAGGATGACCGGCATTAACCCCGGGTGGGTGGGGCAAGGGAGGAACATGGGGGAAGGGGACTGGGAATTTGCCGGATCCCAGGAGCGGCAGGTGGCCGGCCCTCCGTGACTTTAAGAGGACTCTGTCCTGGGTCTGCACCTGGCTGAAGTCAGCACCCAGCTCCAGGGCGCGGGCCCGGCTCAGGGCCCCTGCACAGTCTCCCTGGCACCCGGCCTCCTGCAGCAGCTGGAGGAGGCGGTCCCGTTGTTGCTGGAGGGCTGACTCCAGGTTCTGCTGCCCGGCCTGCAGCTCCACCACTGTAGCGTTCAGGGCCTGCAGGTGGTGCATGGAGACCTGCAGGGCTGAGAGACCCACACCCAGCCTGAACGGTGGCCCCCATAGGCATCCCAGAACTCCCCTCCCCCAGCCAAAGGGACCTGCAAATCATTGACCTCCTGCCTACAGTGGAAACTGCCCCTGGGTACGTCAAGCCAGGGGAGGGGGGCTGGATCCTGGGGTACAGCGATGGGGAAGTATAGGTGGGGCAGAGGCGGCTCAGGAAATCCAGGGCTGGGGGCAGGTGGGACCATTCCCAGGAGGACACCCACTGGGCTCCACATTATCCAGGGGCGGCTTCAGCTCACCCTGGCCTAAACTGTCCACAGCCGCCAGCAAGGGGTACACGGCGCTCCTGAGCTGGGTGTGGACCGCACTCCCAATGCTCACACCGACACCTGCAGGGCACACGGCAGTCTGCAGGGTGAGGCCCCAAGGATGGAGGGGCCTCCCCATTCCCATCCTGCCTCCCCAGGCCCCACCGGGCTCTGCAGAAGCTGGCGGGTGGAGGGGAGTGGAGGAGGGGCAACACGGCTTCTTCCTCCAGTAGCTGAGTGGTGGCCACTCTTGCTCTTCAGCCGGCCTGATCCCCACCTCTACCAGCCTGTTCCCAGGTGGGGTCCAGAATGAGGGAGTGAGAGGCCCCCACCGAGGCACCCGAGCAGGGGCCCTGCAGCCGGCCCACCTGCCAGCCCCCGAGACCCTCACCATCCAGCTCCTCCGAGACGCGCTCCTGGGGCAGGGAGAACTGCTGTGCCACGGCCTGCAGCTCCTAGGCAAACACAAGGCCCTGACGCTGCCCTTCCTGGTCACCCGCAGTCCTGACCCCCATCTGTCCCTGGCCCCTTCCCTGCCCCTATGGCATCCGCCCTGAGGGTGGTGGACTCTCAGGCAAGGCGGGACAGGAGGCGGCTTTCAGATGCCCTGGTGATGGGCCAGCGAGAGCCCACTCGGCTCTGTCCTGCCTGGGCCCGGTGCTCACAGGGGCACATGTGGGTGAGGGGTAACAGTGCTCACTTGGGGGACATCAGAGACCAGGCCCCGGAGGCTAAGCAGGGTCTCAGGCACGGCCTCCACGCTGGGGCCCATCTGTTCATGCGTGCGCTGGTTGGTGACTAAGGCACAGACCACACCAATCCTGTGGGAATGGAGGGAGGAGGGAGGCGCTTGCGGGGTAACAGGGAGCCTGGGGCCACAGCCCCCCCCGCCCGGGCTCTGGGCAGTGCCTTACAGCAGCAAGAGGGTGGTCAGCAGCAGGACGACCATGAGGGACGCACACTCACAGGCCAGTGCCTTGTGCTCTGTCTTCACTCGCCCCCCGCAGCGCCGGCGGCAGTGGCACCAGCAGAAGCAAAGCCCGGCAGTGGGCATCAGCAGCAGGTAGAGGCCCGCAACCACGGCGCACACCACGTAGCCTGCCTCGTACCGCACCACCTGGGCAGGCGGCAGGGCATGAGGGGCGACCCGACCCCCACTGCCCAGCCCTGGCTTCTGCCGGAGTCCAGAGGGAAACCAGAAGGGGTGGGAGTGCTGTCGGGGGCATGGCCTGCATCTCATGCAACGCGTCCCAGAGGCGACCGCATTCTTACTGCTCATCACCATCTTACACGGGAGGAAGCTGAAGTTCAGGAAGTTCCAGCTCCCTGCAAACCTCATTGCCAGTAAATGGCAGAGCTGTGGTTTGCATCCAGGTCTGCGGACGGCAGGGCCCACAGAGGAGGGGCGAGGATGCCCGAGCCCCCGCCTGGTGGACTGAGCGGACTGGGGGCTTTTCCGCTCCCATCCTGCTGCTCACCCCGGAACTCCCTCCCCCAGCACCTTTCCCCAGCTTGCTCACCTCATTCACCTTCACGGAGGCCAACTCATTCAGCAGGGCCTTTACCAACTCTACCGGAAAGAGCCAAGCTGAGGATTTGGGGGCAGCCACCGCCCTGCCCCGTGTCCGTCCTCTCCCCACTGCCAGGGCAAAGTGGCTCTGAGGCAGGGCTCCTGCCACCACCATGGCACCCTCGCAGGAGGCTGCATCACCGCAGCCCTGCGCCATCCTGCCCTGACCTCAGCACTGCTACAGGAGGGTGAGAGAGGAGAGGCTGCAGACCTCTCCTCCTGGACCCTACAGGTCAGTCCTGAGCCTGGGCAAAGGCGGAGAAGGGGCCTGGCCTGGCAGTTCTTCCCCTCAAGCAGCAAGGGACAAAACTGGGAGGGTCCTTCAGCCACTCCTGGACCACCCAACCCAAGCACCACTAGACTCAGAGGATGTCTGAGTCAGGTCTAATGTATTTCTAATGTGACCTCCTCACTTTACAGACAGAGCACCTGAGGCTCAGAGAGGAAACGAGGGCTACCCACAGTCACACAGCAGGTTCTGGAGCCCGCCCCGGATCCTCCGCCTTCTACCCCAGGAAGATGGCCAGTGCCTGCTGGTAGATTGGGCACATCTCATGGTAGAGGGGGACAGAGGAAGCCTGGCTGGGGACCCAAATGCTGAGGCCCTCGCTGGGGAGGTGCACACTCACCTGAAGGGAAAGGATTCAGCTGCACCACGGAGAGGAAGCGGTGCACGGTGCCGTAGAGCGAGTCCAGGA